CCCCCAATCGAAAAATCGGTGAAAAAAAAACCCCTGAATGATTTCTCCTTCTCTCCCTTCAGTATCATCGCCGTCTGGCCTCTCTATAACTGGTATTGACGTCACTCCAATGTCGACCCTGGTGTGCTGTGAGCCGGTGTCGGCGGGACGTCCCCGGGACAACCTAAAGCTCGCACTCAATCGTAGTCTGAGTGAGCCCGGACCGCCGTGCGATCGTTTTATCCCAACAACACCCACCTCACCAACATTATCAACAATATCCTCCGAGTGTAGTACCCAGGATGGTTGTTCCACAAGTGCCAGTGGTGGTAGCACAAACAGCATTGACATAGGTGACAACGATCACCTGCTCCATCATTATCACTTTCATTATCACCATTATCATCGCCAGAGCAGCCTCTACCCGGGTTCATCGTCACTTACGGCACCCAAACGCTGCAAACTGGAGACCGTAAGTCTGCCGACGAGTCCCTGCAACGAGGGAACAACACTCCAACGACAATTGATCATCAATCAGTCGAGAACTATCGATCCCGATGAGCTTGCGCGACGTCTGCAGGTCCAGCCCGACAGCATCGTTCTTCTCGACTGTCGGCCCTTCATTGTTTACAATGTGAATCATGTGAGGGGGGCAATTAATGTTAATTGCTCGGACAGATTCAACAGGAGACGGTTGCAAATGGGAAAAGCCACACTCGCCGATCTGGCAACAGCACGGGAGGGCAAGGATATTTTGAGAAAACGACATTACAAAGAGGTTGTGCTTTATGACGATTGCACTGCGGATTTGGAACATCTACCTGTGCAGCATCCACTTTTTTTGGTTATCACCGCACTCGTGGAGGACCACCGGGAGCCGACGCTTCTTATCGGTGAGTCGCTTTTTTCGATTTCGATGGGACTTTTCCGCGGCTTTTCACGGATCAAAACATGTTTTTAGAAAATATATAAACCGTGTTTTTTATATATTTTTTTTTATATAAATTGGGCCAGTTTGAAATATTTTTAAAATATATTTATAAAAAAAAAATTAAATTTTTCTGGGTGGGTTTCGACGGCATCAAATTTTATAGAACTGATATAATTGTTATGAGGGGTTTGGAGCCCTTGAGAGTGGATACGAAACGAGGGGCGATGAATACTGCGGTTTTTTCCTGGATTTAGAGATTTTTCAGATAATTGCAACTTTATGAACGTTCAAATCTGGAAAACGAGAAAAATGAATTTTTGTTTTTGTGCGATATCTCTGGATCTGATGGAGGTATAAATATATTTGTTTGGACCTTTTTTTAGCTCTTGATATTTGCTACAAAAAAAGTTGAGGTGAATATTTCGACATTTTTCTCAGATTCCGAGATATTTATCAAAAACTAAAACAAGAGTCAAATTTACTCTCCTAAACACTAAAAATCAATTCCAGTTTTTGATGAAAATCTCGAAAACCACTGGAGATAGCGAAAATATCGTTAAAACCTTTTTTGCAGCTCTTGAAATTTTCTACAAAAAAGTTCTTATCCAAAATTTCGCCACGTCGATTACTTTCGGAGATACCCGCCCAAAACCCCATTCTCTCTCCAACGACGTTGCCCCGATGTCGAAAGAATTCAATGTAGAGCGAACCCGGAATGCTGTGACATTAAATTCCAATTAAATCAGCGCGAAGCGAACGTAAGGCGCGAGACAAAAAAACTATATCGCAAGACACGTGGTGCCGATGCATATTCCCTCACTTCTTACGTGTCTCCTATTCCAATCCAAGAGAAAAAAAAACCTCTACAATTTGCGTCGTTGATTAGACGTTGTGCTGAATGCAAAACCGTCTCTATCCACTGGCAGCTATAAACAACAAATTTTAAATCAGGACATAATTCCAAACGCCTGTTTCTTCAGTAAACATTCGAAAACTTCAAGGTAACTCTGACTCTTTCCAAATAACAAATCACATAATCTTCGATTCCACGTGAATTCCGATACAAAAATTCAACTCTATCACTCCAATTACTAACATTTGCACTAATAACACTAATCGTGCCATAAAATAATAATAACAATTATCATAATCATCTTCATAATTTTATCTCAAAGATTACTATTTTTTTAATCAATATTCATTTCTATAACAATTCATCGTTCATCGTTCGCTTTTTTATTCATCGTTTTGCATTTCTTTCTCGTTAACATTTTCATTCTCCAATTACAGTTAATAAAAAAATATATAAATTCTATTTATTGAATGCGCGAGTTGGGCAAGTGACGGCGAGGGGGAACGGAGGGGAAGGGGAGGGGGAGTGCCGGAAAAGAGTGCGCGTACGATGAAGGACGTTTGCTTTGCTTTGAAGAAAGAAAAAAAAAATTTTGCGGAGTGGGAGGTGTATTAGATGCAGAGGTGGGGAACATAACTCTCGGAGACCAGTGGACTCACGAGGTAGCGGCGCGGCGGGGAAGGGAGGGGGGATCCTCTATTCATAGGAATGACTCACGTTCGAGATGACGACGTGAATAGCCCCGGCTGAATTTGCGCACAACTCCAACTAATTTTTCTCCACTTTAATGTTTTCTCTTTTGTCTTTGAGTCTGGGCTATTGGGGTGAGGTGGGGGGG